TCGCTCACTGCTTTATTGTCTCTGTCATCTCCTCCTTTATTTCTCACTTTGCTCCCTCTGTCGCTCCGTTATCTGTTTTTATCAGCGTCATTTTTCTCTCACATCCCTCTCCTTGTCACACACCCACCTCTCCCCTATCCTCTTTTTTCTCTCTCTCTCTCTCTTGCAGACACACACACACTTACATATTCTCCTCTTTTCCTCGAGTGAATCTGAGGAGGTGTCTGCTCCCCCATATGGCCTGTCAAGTTCCAGCAGTGAGAGTGTGGGTGGTGTGGTGCAAGCTAACATAACATGGTGTTATGAAAAAAAAATAAAAAGAATAAAAACAGGAGAGAAATCATATGTTGTACTGTGGTGAAATAGACTGTGAAACAGGATCTCCATTCAGGAGACTTCCTCTGAACTCATGATGCACCGTGCACAGCAATAAATAATTAAAGGGAAATATATTTCGTGGAAATGAGACATATACTGTATGAAGCAGGTTTTTTTTTTCTACATCCAAAGGCATAAGCAAAATTGTGGTCTGTGCTATGAAAAATGTGGGTAAACATAAACAATAGGTGTAGATGCTTAATCTGCAGTCAGAGATGAGAAAGTAGGGGAGCAGAGGAACAATCCTACTGGATCTTCAGTAATCCGGTTTGATTGTTTGTCTTTCTCCATAATACAGAGCTGTCTGCAGCTGCACCTGCCTGTTGTTTCACTGATAGGACTCTGTGATGCAAGAACAAAAGACAGGGAAAATCATATGTATCAAAACAGTAGCATATAGTTCAATTTGGAGTTTTATAGCTCGAAGTAGATAGCATTCTATTTTCAACAAAATGTTAAAGGAAAAATTTGGGAGATGTACTAGTTCACTGTCTTGCAGGGATATACACCACTCACCTCTCTTTGCACTAAATATGAAACTACTGGCTAACTTAGCTTAGCATAAGGAATGGAATCAGGAAGAAACTGCTAGCCTTTCTGTCTAGTCTGTTCAAAGGTGACAAAATCTACCTAAGAGCACCTTTTAAGCTTTCTTTTGATCCACGCAGAACACATAGTGTAAAAATGACATTTCTTATGGGGTCATGTACCTGACTATTTCTTGGTTGGGACTAATTGGATCCTGGAGTCTCCACTCATTACCTGGCAGATGCTGCAAAGTAGCTCCTTATCTGACTTAGCCTAAACTTTTGCACATGCCACTACTGTTACTGATAATTTTATTTTTCCAAGTTCATGACATAAAAAGTAACAGTGCATTAACATTTGAAGAAGGGGTCATTTTTAATGTCTGTTTGGTGCAGGGCTTGTGTTCCTCTTTTCACTTCAAAAACCGACAATATATGTGATTTGCCCCAGGGTGGGCAACTCAGCAACAAAGTGTATAAAATGTCCTAAACTTTTCCTTTACATTGTCTTTAGGGTGCCACCTCATTTTGTTTCAAAAATGAGATCTTTGTGATAGTTATTATCAATTTTATTTAATGAGATTCTTTCATATCAAAGTTAACTACCTGTTAAATAAAATAAATTGAAGTACTGCTGCACAAGGAACATTGAACCTGTGAGGTTTCACTTCACAGTGTAATATAAAAAGGCTACGAGATGTGTCCATCTTTTCAAGTTTTATCTGTGTTCAGTTTTAATTTTGCTTTCAAGTTTTAATTTGTCAGTTCCAATTTCATTTGGCGGTGGTGTTGAAAATGCATTTGTTTGAATAAAAGCCAAAACAAAAAAAAATGAATGGGGAAAAAATGATGTTTTTTTTTTTATGCATGTGAAGAGACACATGGGGTTTCTATCGACCCTGGGTGGATTCGGGGAAACGATTAAAGCCCAGCGGGCACAGTCACCTGCCATGCAGTCAATCCAATCTCTCCTGATGGAGCCAATCCTTGTTAAGGACACGTTGTTCTTTGTCCAAATTATAGCCGCTTGCTGCGTGCCTACCTGCATCCAAGAAAAACAAACGCCTGTCTGTTATCTGTGGCGCACAGAACACAGGATGATGGTTGTGTTGGTGGCGATAGTGGTGTAGGATGGCACATACTGCAGCACTAATGACACAACAGCCACATCGAAAATGGGATGATGGTGATGTGAGTGGGAGAAACTGCCATGTTGGGAAATATCAGGGCCTCATATTGACCTGCAAAGCTTTATTCTACTCTATTTTGTTCTATTCTGTGACCACACCCTTGGCACAGCTTCAGCTGATATCAGGTAAATAAGTGTAAGAGTATTATCTTATCATAGAGGAATATTGCGTCAGGCCAGCAGACACCGGCAGCTAAAAGTATGAATCCACTTCATGCATGGAGGGAGTCTTCATCCTCGAGCTGTGGCGTTGCCCTGACGACCTCCTAAGGTTTACTGCGGAGTTCAGCCAGATTATGAATAATGGAGAAAGGTCAGGATAGATTTTTAATGGATTTGTACACCACATGGCTGCAGCTGCATCAACAGGGATTTCAGAGCGATCATTTCTATTATAGAGGGTATGTTCTGGCTTGAACTGTTGCTCCGACTGCTGCTACTGCTGTGTTGAATCATTGAATGTTAACACAGGCCATACTCTCCATGACAGTGTGTTCATCCCACTAATCTGTTTAATGTGCATGTGTATGTGCAATGTCATAACCCAATATTAAGTATCATTAAAGAGTGGCTGGACCACATATTCTGTAGGCAGCGGTTTCATTCAGTAAGCAATCTGCTGAATGACTATCTCAGTGTCTGATAAATCATTCAAATGCATATATGGAGACAAATATCCTCCATTTTAGTTGTGCAACAGAGCAAATCTCCTCAGTTATTAGTGACTGTAGTCTTCATTTCATGTTTCAAAGTGTCTGAGCAAAGTTGGGTCTCTCCATGCACAGAACACTCTCATTGCACGCTCCATGATATGAGGAGCTTTACAGTAATCCCTCTTCTTAATAAGCCATTTCATGTACTTCGCTATTCAATTGGGGGTCAGGGTGGGTCTTAATCAGTCATTCCACGTCTGTTGCCGCTCCAAAAGGCGGATCGCCGTGACTTTAAGATGTGTCCTCTTAATGTATCGCAGTGTGTGATGTGGGAGATGTAATTTACCAAGAGTGTCAGCGGCAACCAAGGCTGAGAGTCGTGTCCCCCAGTTGACACCAAGTAAACAGTCACTTAACTTGCGAGTCCCTGTCCACCCCCATAACGCTGATGGAGACTGATGATCACACCCACGTGTAATTGCTCTGACGTCTCGCTGTGACAGATCATATAGAGAGCAGGAAATTGCTGATGGCTTTAACGCCGGTCTCTGACTAGACATGGAAACAGGAAATTAGAGATATTCACCCATTACAGAAGGTTCTATTTTCAACTCACTCACTGGGGTAAATCTGACTTTTTAGTGGCATTTTAAAGACACATTCATGCAGGCATATGCACGCTCCACACACACACATAGGCTACCAATGGTGGCATTTATGGCTTGGCAGACAATACCATTTTTAAACACAGCTATCCTTTGCACTTCATTTACATAATTCTAATTAAATGCTCGCTTAGAAGCACCCGATCATGTTGTCAAGTCAAAGGTAGGAGGAAACAAATCCTTTTATATGTTAATCAGCTTTATATGACATTGTCTAGCCTGCCAGGGAAATAAATATTTCACACCTCAAACTACACAGAGACATCAATATGCAGGAATAAATGTATTATTTCCATCATTTTAGATTAGCTCTGCTTTTGCTTGCTATTAAGCATTTTTTCACACTGCATGTATTTTGATTCTGTACAAATGCTTGTCCAAGCAAACGCTGATAAAATTTCATAGTTCATTGTTGTGGAAACTGACCAGAACATTTTAGTTTGTTCCAGTTTTTTTTTTCCTAAATTATATATTTTGTTTAGACTAGCTATTGAATGGCTTAATTTGCACACTTGAGTGCCTCAGAGCTGCTTGCAGTGTCAGAAAATGCGATTCATAAATCTGTTCACCACCAGTGAGAAAAAGAAGTGCCCCCTGCCCCCCCTCTTTTTTCTGCTTCTGGCTGTAAACAGCTGGAAACATTCAGAAAGTAGATGAAGGTTGTAATTGATTTCTCTTGCTGACTGGAGAGCACTGACAGTCAGCACAGGTTTGATGGCAGGAGCTACACTGGTTGATTCATGAGAGCTGATTCAAAAACAAAATACCCAACAACTGAAATCATCATCAAAGTAAAACTCAGACATTTCAGTTGCTTTGGACAGAAGCGTCTGTCAAATCAATGTAATGAATGAATAATAATAGTCCACTGAAAATTGATACACTAATTAATTCTTGCCCAGTCCTACTTTGATAGACCTTTATGGAAACACAGCTTGTTATAATTAAGTTCTGTTTATTGAGCTCAGGTCATATGACAAAATTTCACCATCTGCGTAACAGGAGGCGATATCATTGAGGATTACAGGAAGATTTTAGGAAAGCTGAGACAGGTCTGCAGTAGCTTTACTGAGCTTTGTTCTTTCACTTCTGCTGGACATTGGTAATTTATTGAGGAAGGAACTTCGTATTAAATAATGGAATAAATAATGAAATTAACGATTTTATGAATGAATTTATCTGTGTCCAGGTATGTAATGTAAAAATAGAAAACAAGAACACAGGTAAACAGTGGAGTAATTTTATTCTCATATGCTACTGACTTGGTGCCTTATATTTATCCAAACTGAGGCGGCCGTGTCCGTGGAAACAAAGCAGTTTTTAACAGTGACCTGAGTCATTCATCATGTAACTCAACAGGAACACCTTGCCTTGAGGAGCCATTGACCTCAGTCAGCAGCATCTTACCATTTATTATGATTACACACACACACACGCACACACAGACACACACTAGTGCACACACTCCATCTTTCTCACTGTCTAACCCTAACCCCATCTCACATATACAGTATAAACCATACACTCAAAACACTTTTTTATGGCTATGGCGCACACACACACTGACCAGTGTTTGTCGTCCCTGCAGGTGACGATCCTGATCATCCTGGCCCTGGCCTTCCTCGCCTGCATTGTGTTCCTGGTGGTTTATAAAGCCTTCACCTATGACCATGCCTGCCCAGATGGATTCATTTATAAGGTAACAGCCATAATTGGCCTTTATTTAATTTTCTAGTGTTACAAAACATCACTCCACAGCCCTGAGATAGACAAGTGGTTAACAGTGCAGTGGGTCATGAGATAGCCTCTTCACAATTAAATAGGTCTGTAACTAGTGATTACTGTATGTGCTACTGTTCATGTTAATGGTATACATTAATATAAACAGTTGCTTGTTAAATCAAATAGTATATAAGCTTCTCCACTGCAAATATTTTAATTGCCAATTACTTTGTGACAAATAAATAACTGAACAATATATACAGCTCCATTGCTTCACATTGTGTCCAACAAAGAAAAACCCTCACTGATGTGAGCAAGTTTGGTGAGGGTTGATTACATTGGCTTGTGAGACAAGCCCTAGCACATGCATGCTGCACACTCTCATTCGCATCCTGAATGACAGGCACACAGAGAGGGCCGAGAAAGAGACAGACAGGGACAGCAAAAAGTTTATGGATTTTTTGACACTCCACCAGTTCACCAAAGCAGCGGGATTTCTCCCGGTGCACCTGGTAGCCAGTCTGATTTTGACAGACAGGTCCATTGTCAATGAGCTTGTGTGTGTGTGAGAGAGAGATACAGAGAGAGAGCAGGGCAAGGGGGGGCTGAGCAATCAATGCGCTGTGCACATGAAATAACATTTTACCCATTTGAAATACAAAAAAAAATGAATAGAAAATCAATATGGAGTGTTCAATGTTGATATTGTGGTGGGCCGCCACAAATAAATCAGTGTATGTGAAATGTGAAACATTACACAGTCAATAATGTCCACCAGCCCAAGGTACTTGTGTTATCACACCAACAGTCAAATCCAAAAGATTTTCAACTATCAGTGATGTAACAGACAAAAGCAGCAAATCCGTATTTTGATTGAGAAGTGACTGAAAGAGCCCATATTGTATTAAGTGAGATGACAGTTTCTTCTTCGATTATAAAGCAGGTCTAAGTTCAATATTAATACAGAGAAATGCACACAGCCTGTATTCAGAAACTGAGCATAAAAACAAGCATTCAGGACTTCTGTAACTTTGTGATGTCACAACAAAGCAGAGTCTCTGCTCTCAGACATGCCCAAGCCCCGCCCACCTGGACCCACTCTCCAACCTTGCAGGATTTGGTTTCTCTGAGTGTTAACCTGAAATCTGCTATATTTTTATTACATAACTCAGAAAACAATCAAGTCAGCCAATTAGATAGTTGGCTCACCGACCTGTTGTTACTAGAGCTCAGAGAGAAGCCTGAGAGAGTAGATGTAAATCTACACTGAGATGGTTTTTGGTTCTTAAAACCATAAACATATCCACTTCAAATAAAACACAGGACATGAGTAGAATATGGGACCTTTAATCAGCTAACATTAGTTTGTGTCACTTCAGTAACTGATCTATTGATTATTTGATTCACCACTAAATTCAGTCAGCCATTTTGCCAAATATTCACCCCGCTATGTCCTTGTGCAACACACTGAATCCTCTCTGCCCTTCACAATCTCCTTTTCTACTTTCCTCCTATTAGGATGAGTTCACCACCCAGTCTCCTATGGGAGAAGAAAAAAATAAAATGCTCCTGCCCTACTTTTACTAATTTGTGAGGTCAGGATACAGGAAGAGGCTAACGAGGCTTATCAGATGAACAATCATCAATCAATGGTATCAGTGGTTTTGTCATGACCAGTGTAATCAAGTGTAATTCGATGCTTTTGTTTCTTGACACAGAAGCTGAAGAAAGAGACACCATTGAGCATTGAGACCGATCACATATGTCATTAGCTATTTTGACTATTAGATGAAAATTACACAAATTAGTCTTAATTCCCTATTTTACAATAATTAGTACCACATTATGGATAACTCCTGAAATGTCACATACAGCCATCCTCATCCAAAAATCTCCTGCTCAGAAATGTATTGTGTTACAGTTAAATCTTTTAAGTTTTACAGTCTTCTCCAGCTTCTCCAGCTTCTCCAGCTTCTCCTCTCCTCTCCGGTACTTACAGATTACCCCTGCACTGCACTTATAAGTTTCGCAGTACTTTGTGAGAGGTCACCTTGGAAGTCTGTGTTTCTGGTCAAATCTGGTCTTTTAGGTGGAATAAATCTAGTCACAGGCTCACAAACTCTGCAGGGGCTCAGACTGCAGTCTGCAGAGGTATTATTAGCAGTGCCACATGCATGCGCACCAGGTGCAAAAAGTGTCAATAGAACAACGTGTGCATTCACCTGCACGCACATACACTACACAATGACACATAAGGTTGGAGATATATACAGACTTAAGAATATACACGGGCTCAAAATATGCTAATGCACTCCATTATAGCATTATGGCCTCCATTCTCCTCTATACGTTACTACACAGAGCTGTGCTATCAGCTTCAGCTATATAAGTAGCTTCTTCTTCCTCTTTACTACTCCCACTCATCCAGATTATTGGTTTGAGGCTGTTTTTTATGGGGACAGTAAACAGTGTTTTTTTCTTCTCTTCTTTTCAAAGCTATTCAGAGTCCATTACCTGAATTTCTTGTGAGACATTTTTGGTCTCAAGTCAATATTTAGCGTCACTGATGAAAATTCTTTTCGCTGTGTTTTTTTTCTTGCTACATTAAAAAAGACTATTCAGCTGCAACATGTAGTATTTAAGGGTAATTCAACGTGCTGTGTCAGGTGTATCTGAATTATATAGAAAATTAGTTCCACTTCTTTTTCTGTTGTTCCATTTAATGGGAACCATGTTGACTGTTTAGTGAGATAAAACGATTTTTTCAAACATGGTTAAAGCTCACAGACTGAGTTGGCTATTCACACACAAAACATCAAACTCAGACAGTTACTTATACTGTAGAAAGTCTGGAAGATGAAGAAAAAAGCCTTTTATCAGTTTCCTTTCTCTGCAGTTTAGTTCACATTGTATTTGAAATTAGCTGAAATTATGTAGGCCTACCGTATATTTTACATTATGATTGGTTGTTTTTTTTTCCTTTACGACAAAATGGTATAACTGCACAATTAATATTTTTTATATCAAAACTGTGAATTGAATGAGTGCAATTTTCAAATGGCAAGAGCGCTGATTTTAATTGGAACATAATTATACCTAATTAACAGTTCTTAACAACCTGTAGCGAGCAATCGTTTAAGTGGTCAGTGGAAGATTGCTCAGTTGTAGTAAATTAACCTTAATTATGTGCCAAAAAAAAAATCAATCTTGTGTATTTTCTGATTAATGCGTTCTGCATGACCTGATAAATTAAGTAGCCTACTTTATTAAGGTTAGAGGACCTTTATTGTCATGGCAATAATAATAATGCTGCTACGTGTAGCACCTTTAACAAAATGTTCTGAACCTCACTCTTCTCTTTCTCTGTCACAGCACAAGCGGTGTATCCCAGCCTCTCTGGAGGCGTACTACGCTGCCCAGGATGCCAACTCGAGGGGCCGTTTCTACACAGTGATCAGCCACTACAGCATGGCCAAGCAGACCACCTCGCACTCTGTCTCCCCCTGGCTTCCTGGAGGGGTTGGGGGGCAGCAGCAGCAGCAGCAGCAGCAGCAGCAGCATGACACTAAACCCCCCAGCAGTGAGGGCCACTGAGTTAGCTGAAGGGTTAAAGGATGTTGTAAACACACACACAGACACATGCAGACATGAAGAAACACATACAGACACAGGCAGGTGTAGACAGACACACACACACACACACACACACACACACACACACACACACACACACACACACACACACACACACACACACACACACACACACACACAAACACGTAGGAGAATATGTAGAAAACTAGACAAAAGAGATGCACATTAACACAGCAGCTACATATTTAATGCCAATATAGAGTGAAAACATGCATGCAGACATGAAAACACAAGCACACGCTAGGCCATATTCTGATTTACCCTGTCTGCCCATTTCTATGCTCTTTTCTCTTATCAAGGAGCATTTCCCATTGATCTTTTGCTCTCTTGGGAATATCATCAACTGCTGATACACACTCACATATACAAACACACACACACAAACACACGGTCTGCTCTCTTGTTACCCTCCTCTCATTTATTATTATTGATGGTCATGATATATTTATTTTTTACTGTAATGTATGGATGTTTTGTATGTGATTACCAGGCAACTCTTTGTACAAAGGCACGAGTCAAATGCTGAATTTCACGCTTCCTCTCTGTGAGATTCTTTGGACTTTGGAGTCTTTTTGTTTTTTTCCAAGTGTGTATACTGCAGTTACTGTATATTCATTCACAGCTCCTTTTCTTTCTTGCCATGAGCTGCATAACCTTAGGCACATCTGTCAGTCACCACACACACACACACACACAAACACACACTCACACTGAGATCACGTCATATTCCAACCCAAAATACGTCAGTATGGTCTTGTATTGCTGTAATACATTTTTAAATACAAAAGTTCAGCTCTGAGGAAGGCGTAATGCCAATGTCCACATCCACGACACATCCTGAGTGGATTGAATGAATTTTTCCATCATGGCTGTTTGATAGCTCACATTCGGTGACATTTTCAATGTGCTGTGCTATACATTTTAAACCCCCCCCCCCCCCAGTGACCCAAGCTGTACATAGAACTGTGCATTCCGGCTAGTTTTTTGTGTGTATGCATTGTAGTAGCTTTTATTAGGAGGTTTTTCGTTTTCTTTTTTATTTAGTTATTTATTTTTTTACAGACCGACAATTCCTCCATGCAAGTTACTTACATATTGCTTCAGCTGCCAGTCTTGTAGCTCCATTAAACACAGTGTTGCAGATGGGGAAGGAAATACTGTGCGTACCACCGTCCCTCACCAAAACTCTTTATTTTCCGCTGTGTTTCCTTATGTTTATAGATGGGCTTCAACTGCAGCCAAGTTTTGTTCCTGTACTGTTTTTTTTTGTTTGTTTGTTTTTTTCATTTCGTAATGTTGGATCCATTGTCAAGAGCGCTTTTATGAGATATTGTGATGTCGTCAGTTAATATGTAGCGATACCTGGTGTAATTTATCAGTGTGCATCCTCGTCCCTCTTCTCTTGGTTTGAATTCAAAATAAAAACAAGCTGTGACCTGTGCTGAGTGTGCCTGTCAGTCCCGCTTACCGCTGTGTCTCTTTAGTGCTCACACGGCGCCTAATGCAGCCCAGAGGCAGTGCAATCTGAATGACAGTGATGAATTTTCGTAGGGCACGTCATATTATTCAAATGTTCATACTTCTACTCCAATTCATATTACATCAGAAATGTGGTCTGCTGTTCATGTGTGGAACTTTCCACAGCAGTGGAGAGCAGGTTTGTAGGCTGTAATGATGAGCACCTGTGATTGACAGGCAAAAAAATAGCTGTTTCTGTAATGGATAGTGAATATATTTATTTATTCATCTACAGGGCCCTCTGTCAATGGCAGATAAGGCCTCTGTTTTTCTTATGTGCAGCACTAACAACAGTGTCCTCAGTGAGTGACATGAATAGTTGATTTCCCTAATTAGAAGCTTGTATTCTAACGAATCTGTCAGCTGTCTGTGTTTTCTCCCTGCTGAGGAGTAAAACAGGCAAGCCAGAGAGAGAGAGAGGGAGAGAGAGAGAGAGAGAGAAGAAAAGACAGCAAGATGAAAATGTGTATCACTTTGGACTAATATAAACACATTTGATTAAAAATGTAAAGAAAGTTGGCATCAGTAAGCAATAACTAGATTTATCAGCATCTATGAATGATGGAGGAGACAGACACCATCCCTCCATGTTACACATAATCACATAGATACTGTGGCAGTAATACTTAGTTTGAAGTTTTGGACCTTGTGTTTAAGCATTTGACTAAATGAGTCACAAATAGTGTCTGCGACGTAGGATTTAAATACCAAGCAAACCTGGGTATTTTATGTCTCCAAGACATAGTAGCAGCAATAATACAAGCCTTCTAGTTTAATGTATTACTATTATTGCAGTCTATTTTTTGCAATAATAGATAATACTTAACTGTTCTGGGTTTCAACCCTGAACCAACCATAACAGTTTGCTATCATCTGGAATGAAACAAAAATATCTCTAAATGACGGATGATGAGCCACTCATAAAACTAAATGTTTTCACATTCACACTGAGGAGACAGGTTTACTCTAAAACAATGTCCCACTTCTTTATTCTTTATTCTGTGCTCATGGCCATGTTTTTCCATAATAAGTTCACAATAGACCCATACAAGGTTTTTCTTTCTTTCCTCCTCGAATTACCTGCTTTTCTATCTTAACATAAACAGTATGGCGCTGCTAGGGGAATATAGAAACGTGGAGATATACAAAAATCCTATATCATGGTATATTGGTTGCAATTTTATATCGCAATCAATATAAAATATATGATAATATTATACAGTTTCTCGAAAATCAACAATTGAGAAATTGTTAAAGACTAACCTGTTTTTGGCTAATGGAGCAAAAAATTGAAAAACCAAAGTACTACGTCACATTGATGCAAAAAAACACAAGAATCCAATTTTACCATAAAACATAATGTCTACACTCTACCTACAAATGTTTATGAGATACAGTAGTTCAATAACAATAGACTAATTTACATCCTCTACATTGTGTTATCAACCAGGCACACAAAAAAGATTTCCCATTGAGTCTCTGAGGGGAATTGAACAAGGTATAAAGTATAAAGTGTGGGACTAGCCAGTCAATGCATGTGTTTGTCAGAATACCAAAAAAAAACAACTTGACTTCTCACAATCAGATGTGTTGGATCCTTCTAGAAAATAAATAAAGCAGCATCAACTTCAGGAACAGTTTCTGTCTGACTGGAATAAATAAAGGTTCATGTGATGTTAGGCAAGTATTACTACCATTCGCTCCAAACGAGTGTTATACATAACAACCCAATCATAACATACTCAGGTTTACAATGCTAACATGTTGATGTTTAGCAGGTAAGCCTATAATTTTTACCATGTTCACCATCTTAGTATCATATTTGCTAATTAGTAGAAGTTAGCAAAAGTACAGCTGAGGCTGATGGAAATATGATGTAAAGCAAAGCATAGGACATTAAAATACATGAATAACAGATGCTGAACAGTTATGCTGTTATGGAGCACAGTTACAACTGATAGTTAAATGTTGACAAATGATCATAAAAGATGATTTTCCTGATGTTTGCTGTCTTCTTTTCTCCCACGTGGATTACACAACAGCACTGACTCAGAGTCTGGATGAACCGGACAGATGGTTGCTTATGCAGCGCTTACACCATGCTACCATAATGCTGACATGTTCTGTCTATTTCCTTCAAGGGCCAAAACAGGTTGGCAAAAAAGAGCCTTGGTAGCTACACATTTGGAACCAACAACATCTAAACTGAGAGAGAAGTGAGTGTAGAGATAAACCTCGCAGAAGCTCATCCTCTTTTGACACCGTTGTAGCATCTATGCATGATTTTCGAAGCTCACTGATTTTTAGCTGCTCGGTGTAGCCTAAGAACCATTTTCTTCTCTTCACACTGCGGAAGTGTACAATCCTCACCAAGCTTATTAGACCATTCATTTGAAAGACCTTACGACCCTGATTACTTACTGGGGACAATCGGCAATCATTTATAGGATGAACTGTGGCTTAATCCCCTCTATGGCTCTCTAATTATAACAGTAAATAGCTTCCAGTGGTATAATACGCGCTAAATTCCTTCCAGTGCAGGATATTAGATGTTGATGTGAAGGAGTACTAATTGTAGCGGACAGGTCAGTGGTGTTTCCTGAGGAAGGAGGAAGGAAGGGGAAAAGGTAGAAGAAGATGGGAAGAGAGAAAAGAAAGGCACAGTGTTGACTGGCACGGAGGGAAATTAAGCCTGACATCTGGAAATGAACAGCCATATATGTCCATCCTGTTGTCTCCTGACACAGGAACTCCTCAGACGACCTGGAGGTGCTGTGTTTGTACTCGCTACAGAGAGATAACAAGCGCCTCTCTGTAGTTTTTTTTGTATTTTGTATGCAGAGTATCTCTCTCTCTCTCTCTCTTCATGTACGTTTTTTTTTCCTTCGCTCACATTTTGTCCTCTTTGTTTCATATTCGAGCTCTCTGTCTGTGCCTCTATATCTTTCTTCCTTCCACACTCTTTATTTCAAAAACACCCTCTGCTGCTGTCATCTCCCATCTCCCTCAACTCTAAGCTACTTTTTTTTTGCTTCCTTGAAGGATCCAACTATGAGCCAAGCATAAACAAAACAGCCTGCATGGAAAAAAAAATAAATAAAAAAAAATCAATAGTTGAGATGGGGAACACTGCTTTGATTTTCTGTAGTAGTGGAAACATGTCTTAATACCAAGGCTAACAAACGTATCAGCTGCTGTCATCATACATTTTTTAATGAACAACTAGCTTGTTAGAGATTTGCTCACATTTGAAACAACTGAAAAAACAGGAATGAAATATTTGTTTGGAGTTATTGTGAAGCTTTTCAAAAAATGCTGGCTTTCATTACTCCATGAGAATCAATATTCAACAGACCAGTTCATGGTGTGAGGCTGCCATGGGCATTGAAGGAAACACTATTGTTTACAATCCCAGTTTCCTGTTTGTTTTGTTTTTTGTTTTGTTTTTTTTTGGGCAGATATTCATAGCTGGTATACCA